TGATATGCACTAACAAGTGGCTCCCAGTGACCACTTACTCATTGTTGACACCCACACAAGACCCTTCAGTGAAACCACCAGAGTTAACCAATGATGTCAGCTAACAAGTGGCTCTCAGTGACACTGAATCATTGTTGACACTCACACAAGACCCCTCAGTGAAACCACCAGAGTTAACCAATGATGTGAGCTCCAGGTGTTGCCAAGGGACAAAGTGGACATTTCCATTATTCAGAGATTAATATCTATGCAGCATACACGTTGAGTAACGCCATCTACAGGTTCCTTAGAGAGAGTACCTAATTCTAAAATACAAGGGGGAAAAAGGCAAGATAAACTGAAACATGAGCACCAAAAGGCCTGGGATACTGGGTCACCAATTATAAACAAGCATGACTCAGGCCACTGGAAAAGTTGACAAAGAAACTCAGGGTCACCATGAGGAACACCAGCTATTGTTTCCTACTGAAACCCCACTATTTGTTGAAACAAAGAATCTGCTTTGCTTTTGCTTTCAGTCTGGGATGTGCAAGAATCAGGAGGACAGAATGTCCTGCGGGGTAGAGGGTGGACAAAATCCTACAAATAGCTCTGGTTGCCAAGCCCATCCCTAGAGAAGAAGGGAGGTACAGGACCAGGGTAGCAACCGAAGATGGGATGTAGAGGATGAGGAAGTAAATCATCAGCTTCATGGCCCCCACGTGAGCTTCCGTCTGGGGGTTCCAGAAGCCAGAAGCATTCCTCTGCATCTTACAGACATGTCTCTTCAAGGAATGTATTAACAAGGAAGCAGAAGTCACATTAAGGATGAACTGGGGAAACGAGTTCAGGAGCAAAGAAGTCATCAAAGACAAGATATCTTCATTGATGTCACATACTGTGCCATTATTCCCAGTCCCAAGCTTAGGGAAGGGCGATGTCTGACTGAGCACAAAGTACAGGAGCGTGGTGAGGCCAGGGGTCAGCACACAGGCCAGAAGCAGCCTGGGGATCTTCGGGGACAACTGGCGCTTCAGCAGGAGAAACAATGAATGTTGGAAGTTAGCAATCTTCACACAATACAAGGTGTTGAGCAAGGTCACGAACCAGAGACTGCTAGAGTCCAGAAACATCCAAGACAGCAGGAAAAAAGTGGACACAAAGATTGACCTCTCAACATTCAGGATGAAGAAGATCATGTACAGTAGAAATAGTCCCAGCATAAGAAGTCGGGAGATGGCCAAGCTGAGCAGGATCCTATCAGAAGAGGAGAGGCTGTGCCTTGTGACCCAAGCCTTGTAACTGACGACCGTAATGAACAGACTCACAAAGAATCCCACAAAACTCAGAACAGCCGAGGCAACAACAGCGGAGAGAAAGAAGATGGGACGCATCTTCTCCCACTGAAGATCCTGCTGTGGGGCTGATGGCAGGGGCAGGAGACACACTGGTACGTGGAAAGCAGGACGTGCCAGGCGGGTGGAGGCTCATTTTTTTATTTTCCTCAGCATGGCAAGTGAGCCTTAGTGGGCCTGGAGCCAGCTGCTTTTGCTGGAATGCAAATCTCCCAAGGATCACATTACTGTATCTCCGTTCCGGTCCTGTTTTCCTTAGAAATGCCCAATTAAAGCAAGCCAGAGTGAACCTCCAAGAGCAGGAGGGCTCAGGGAAGAGCACTGGCAAGCTCCAAGGCCTTCAAGTCCACATCAGACAGCTCCAGCCCCATCTCTGTACCCAACTCCATGGTAACCCCAGACTATGGTGGGAATTCCATGGCTCACTCCTACCAACCAGGTACCCACATAACTAGAGCCTTCTGGAGCCCAACTGCTCTCTCTCCTGACGTTGGCACTGCAGCCACCTTTCCCATCTGTCATTCTGGCTTGGCCAGGGAGACTCCCTCATCCTTGAGCATTACGGTGGTTTATAACCATCTAGTAGACGGAGTTCAAGATCCTCATACTTGCTCCACAGAGCCATTCCCAATGAAGCTCCCCCCCTTTGGATGACCCCGTCACTCTGCCTACTCCTTCTTCCTTCCAGGGTCGACTCAAGGGACAAGCAGGTGAGGAGAGTCACCACACTCAGGGTGCCAAAATCACTGGCTAAGTTCTGTTTAAAATGCTAGGAAAAGAAATGTCAGCCATGCCAGGTGTTTCTGTCATAGGTCTGAGTCTATGGGTAGAACATATGTGGCTATTTCCGTGTTGTTGTTGTTGTTGTTGTATGTGCCGTCCAGTCGGACCCAACTCATAGTGACCTCTCCTTGGGTTTCCGAGGCAGTATCACTACGGAAGTAGATTGCCCCATCTTCCTTCCGAGGAGTGGCTGGTGGGTTTGAACCTCCAGCCTTCTGGTTAGCAGTCAAGTGCCTTAGGCACTACACTACCAGAACTCCCCCTGGCCACTGAACAGTTCATCAAAGTACTCTGGTACCAGATGCACAAAAACGCTTTGGTTGTAAAGCCAAACAGGCAGACATGTCATTGCCTGACTTCCTTGTAAAGGCCCAGAGCACAGGGCACAAGATGTCTGGTAGCAGCATCACCGGCGGCCATCGGTGACTCAGGAGTATGACATTCCATACCTGTTCTAGCAATTGAATAAAACCAAGGTGCAATCTTGGACACTCCTATAAGTTACGAAACTAGTAACACGGTAAAGCTTCCTAAGTCCTGTTACCAAATCTAAGTAGGAATAGACAAGAAGGAAGAGCCAATGTAGGAACGTAGCCAGGCCCAGAAGAGGAGACTAAATGGCCCCTCCCTTTACAAAGGCAGACGGCAGGAAGGTGAGCCTGGAATTTCCTGGGCTGCAGTCCAGATGCCTATAGAAGCTTTTTACACAAAACTCGTGGACACTGGCAGAGGCAGCCCCAGACCCATTAGACAGGCAATCCTAGATTGAGCCAACAAAGCCATGATTGTGAGGATGCTTGCATTACAGCACTGATTCCACTCCCTTTATCTGTAACACAGGACACACCGCATTAAAGTAGCTAAGTAGAAATACTGAGGATGTCATATTTAAATAGGATTAATAGGACAGAGTAAGATATAATAAAGAGCTCTGGTGATGCAGTGATTAAGGCATTTGGCTGCTAACCAAAAGTTGGTGGTTCAAACCAGCAGCTGCTCTGTGGAACAAAGATGAGGCAGTCTGCTTCCAGAAAGATGTACAGCCTTGGAAACCCAATGGGGTTGCTATGAGTCAGAATTGACTCTGTGACAGTGGGGTTTCTTTTATAAATAAATGGTCAGGGGGGTGGTGCATTGCAATGGGTTTCTCTTTATATATGGCCTTTCTGGCCTTGGGTTTATGATTCTGCCAAACATAAATGGATGGGCCTGTGATTGCTCTGTTTATGCACCTAGAAGTGGCTGGTCAGCTTACTATGAAATTAGCGTGTGTAAAACCACCCAGTAAGATCTCTATGAAGCAGGGAGTGTACCCAAAAACATGTATAGGGTTGGCAGACAATGGTCCTATAAGTTTATGTGTATGATCTGAATTCCCAGGTGTACAGTAGAGCTGACAAGGGGCAAGGTTGTAGTCACTGCTTGGTCACAGACAGCTACCCAGAGGGACCGAGTAGTTGAACCTGTGGGCTCAGGACCATAGTTGCAGAAGACATCAAGCTCAATTGGCATAACATACTACACAAAACATTGTTCCACCTCTTACTTTGGCGAGTAGCGACTGAGGTCTTAAAAGCTTGCAAGCTGCCATCTAGATGCAACAATGGGTCTGTCCTCATCCAGAGCAAAGAAGAATGAAGAAAACCAAAAAAATTAGTCCCAGAGACTGGTACACCATCCGATCTTCAGCCTATATGACTAGGAGACCAGAAGAACTAGATGGTGCACTTGGAAGGGGATCTATGAAGGAGACCCTGGATGGACAGGGAGAACAATGTGGAACAAAACTCAAAATCATCTGGAGATAAAAAAAAACGGGGGGGGGGGGGGGACCAGGTTTGCTGGTCCGATAGAGCCTGGTGGGACTACGGAGACTATGGCCCCTAGCTGCCCTTCAGGTCTGTAATTGAACCCACACCTGTGGCTTCCAGCCAACAATAGATAGGTATATGAGTTGAACATTTCCCTGAGGCAGATACACTCCTTGGAAAGAACAATCATGGGAGAAAGAAGGGCTGCTTATGCACAGGGAGACAGCTCAGGGGGCAGGAGTGCATGAAGGGATGGACACAGAGAAGAGGTAACTATAGGGAGGAAGTGGGAGGGGAGCTATTGCATTGCGGTAAATTGTGGTCAATGTCATGAGACAAAGTGTATGTGAACTGCTGTATGGAAAGGGAATTTGCTCTGTAAATTTTCACCCAAATCACAATTAAAAAAAAAAAAAAACAGTAAGGATTAAATGACCTTACGGGATTTGTGGTCCAGCTGGGAGGACCATGCTTTGAAACTGAATATAAGGGCCAATCCCACAGAGGTTGAGGGGGACCTCACTACCATCAAGAAAAACCTGGAGTGGAGCACCTCCTTTGGACCCAGGGTCCCTTGCACTAAGAACTTCCTAGACCCAGAAGAGAGAGTGATAACACTAAAGGCAACGTGAGATGGTGAGAAATGGTAGTGGCGTGGCTAAGCCCAGTGACAGCAGTACGAGCAGCGGGAACCAGAAGACCAGTACAGACAGCACAGTGGGCTTTCCAGCCCATGGAGAGACAGAGTTGAGCACCTTTGGACAGGAGACTTGCTGGCAGAGCTAAAGAGCTGTAACACTTGCCCAAGCAGTGCAGAGGCCAAGAGGAGGCCTGGCCTGTGGGGCACAGCCAAGAGAAATGCCATTGGCTGGCATGGCTGAGAAGGAGCTGAGATCTGACCTGGCTGGAAGTTGGCCTGATTGATGAGGTTGAGCCTGTCTCATGAGTTATATCCTGTTCCTTCCAAGTTCATCCTGATCCTGGGGTTTAGCCTGTTACTCTCTAATAAAACACATAACTTTGAGTTCTCAGTGGCCATCACAATGAATTACTGAACCCAGCAGAGAAGTAGAGAGTGTCATTGTGGGGTATGGCTGGTGTGAGAAATGGCGAAGAAGTTGGAGAGTGGAGGAATGTCTGACCACCACCTCATAGGAACCAGCTGTGTGTTGGTCCAGATTCTCACCTCTCCTCCTGAATGTAATCAGGCCTTGAAGCTAGATCACTGGGGACACCCAGCACTGGACTGTAACAGACTCATCAGTGAGACAGACCATGTTGTTGGACTCTCAGCAGCAGAAGATAGTATAATAAGATGCAACCCAGTCAGGCAGCCTAATCAGTGAGCAGTTATTTCTGATAATGGGGGAAAGGTTTAACAAAACCTTCCTCCCTGTGTGTGATAATCTGACTTTAATCAAACTTTCTAGCTCTGTTCTCCTTGGCAACTTGATAAGGGTAAGAAGACATGACACCCAGGCAGTCAATTACATCTGGTCTGGAAGGAGCTCTGAGTGGTCCATAACTATTATGGGGTTTCCCTCAGCGTGGGAACTCTTTCCATGGGCATGTCCCTGGAGTCGACCCTGGAAGGAAGAAGGACTGAACAGGAAGATCCCAAGAAAGGTCCAACCAAGCCAATGACACAGTCCTATATCCCAGCGGGATGGACTGCTTCAGTAGCCCACAGAGCTCCAACATTGCCCACGAGTAGCCCTGGAAGTGTGGGCTCACAGGGGGTGTCTCAGGCGTGGGAGCCTGTCACTATGTTCCCACCACAGATGTGAGCAGCATAAGTGCATGGCCACCACAAAGGGGGACTGGAGATGCAGACGGCCTGGGACAGCACCCCCTTGCGATGGGACGACCCCTTCGCCCTATTTGATGCCTGTGTTTTGGTGATGCAGAGGTGCAGCACTTGTTCTTGCATCTGGATTGCCCAGTAGAGGAAGGCATGCTTCTGAGAATAGGAATTGTGTCTAGAACTGTGCTTGGGGCTCCTGAGCATTACGTAAGTGTGGGCGGTACAACTGGATAAACTGGAATCAGGATAAACTCAGTGTGCCCAGAAAAAAGAAAAAAAAAAAAAAAAAACATTCTTTGTTTTGTCTGCAATGAATGTGGTTTTTCTCCCGAGGCCCCAGCTGCTGGCTGGGGGAGGTGTTCATCCAATGGGATAATGCAGAGAGCCTCTTTCAACACCAATCTGTGGCCTCCACCCATGCCATGCTCCCCTCTTCAACTGGGTCCCAGTGCTGAGGAAGGGGCAAAATCCTCCACCTTGGGGAAGCAGAGAAGTTCCCTTGTCCTGGGGCTTCCAGGGGACAGTTGGTTGCTGCCTGTCCTGCCGCCATTCAAGGCTGTAGCCAGGCCTGGTGCGCTTCCTCATTATTGCCTCCCTGGGCTAATGGTCAGCTCAGCTCCCACTGGCTGCAAACAGGGAGTCTTCAATCAGTCCTAAAAAGGGGAAAGTCAGGACCCCCACTTTTCTCTCCTCCTGCTCCTTCCCACCAGCCCCTGGGGCTGGAAGGAGCAGACTTCCCCTGCATCAGGTCCTCAGGTACCAGCAGAAGCCTCACAGATCCACAAGGGACGTATGCCCCCAGATAGATACTTCAGGATGAACTCTTGACCGGTTAAAATGACAGCTGATAATCTGGTGGCGTAGTGCCAAAGGCATTTGACTGCTAACCAGAAGGCTGGCGGTTCAAGCTCACCAGCCACTCCTTGGAAGGAAGATTAGGCAGGCAATCTACTTCCATAGCGACACTGCCTCAGAAACCCAAGGAGGGGTCGCTCTGAGTCAGATCTGAGTTTTAGAATATCTGCTGTGCATTGACTGTGCTAAGCGTTTACATACCATGTCTTATGTAATCCCTACACCAACTTCACAAAGTGAGTACAATCATTACTCCCACTGCATGGTGAAAATAAAAGGAAGGCCAAGGAGGCTGAGGAACTTGCCAGAGACCATGCAGCTAGTAAGTGATGGGTCAGGGCTGGAACCCAAGTGTGTTTGGTTCCAGAACTAACACTCTTAGCCACTACTCTGTACATTTTTTTAGTCCATCCAAGTGTAGACACGCCAGAAATAATATTCACTTGTCCTCAGTAGTTCTTGGAGTTCATAAAGTCACTTTTGTTTTCTTACAACAGAACCTCTTGCAAAATGTAAACAAATACTTTAGTACTCCACCTGTCCCACAGAGAGAAAATCACAAACAGAACTTCAAGACTGAAGAACCACAGGGACATTATACAAAGTGGAGAGCACTGGCAGGCACTGAAATTATTTGAGAAACATTTCAATGTGTTTTTGCATTGTTTTCAAAGTGTTTTTGTTGGTCTGTTGATAATCATCCCAGGCCCAAAGTAAGGTTCATGTGTCAGGATCTAGGAATGGCCCAGGAGGCCAGACCATATTAAGACTGAGTAGTCTCATAAGACAGAGAACATCGGGGCCCATGATGGAAAGCCAGAGAGGCTCGTGAGCTACCGTCCTAAGTTGTAGCTGACTTGGTGTGTGAAAGCCCCAGCAACACGCCCGAGAACAGATGTGTGTGGAGAAGATGCAGACCCTGGGAGCCTCCTAGCCTGCAAGGGGACTCCAAATACAAGGACAATTCTCATCACCACACTTTGACCCAGCCTAGTCAGAGTGGGGAAGCTGTGCTTGGTGCCTTCTGAATAAGACAATTGGATCTAAGAGTCTTAAGACTTGAGTTAGGGCTTAGCAACCAAAGCTAATTAATTGAAAGCAAAACAAACAAAATGGCCCCTTCCAGAGATTCATAAAACTGGGCCTGGGGCACTAGGTACGTCTGTCCTACACCTGAGATTCAGATGAGAAAACCACAGGTGAATTTAGGAGGCCACATCCTCTCCAATCAGGAAGGGAGTGTGTCAGGGTTGTATCCTTTCATCTACTTACTCAACTTGTACGCTGAGCAAATAAACCAAGAAGCTGGACTATATGAAGAAGAGTGTGGCATCAGGATTGGAGGAAGGCTTATTAACAACCTGCGATAAACAGATGATACAACTTTGCTTGCTGAAAGTGAGGATGATTTAGAGAACTTACTGATGAAAATTAAAGACTACAGTCTACAGTATGGATTACACCTCAACATAAAAAAATAAAAAACCCTCACCACTGGACCAATAAGCAGCATCATGACAGATGGAGAAAAGAATGAAATTGTCAAAGACTTCGTATCACTTGGTTCTACAATCTACACCAATGAAAGCAGCAGTCAAGACATCAAAAGATGTATGCATTGGGCAAATCTGCTGCAAAAGAGCTCTTTCAAGTGCTGAAGAGCAAAGATATCTCCTTGAAGACTAGGATGTGCCTAACCCAAGCTATGATATTTTCAATCGCCTCGTATGCATGTAAGAGCTGGACAATGAGTAAGGAAGATCAAAGAAGAGTTGATGCTTTTGAGTTGTGGTTTGGCAAAGAATGCTGAAACTACTATGGACTGCTAATAGGGCTATCAAATCTATCCTGGAAGAAGTGTAGCTGGAATGCTCCTTGGAAGCGAGAATGGCCAGATTTCGTCTCACCTACTTTGGTCATGTGATCAGAAGGGCCATTCTCTGGAAAAAGTTGTCATGCTTGGTAAAGTGGAAGGTCAACAAAAGAGGGGTGGCCCTCAATGAGATGGATAGACATGATGACTGCAGCGACAGGCTCAGGTATAGTAGGGATAGTGAGGCTGGCACAGGGCCAGGCAATGTTTCATTCTGTTTTACGTAAGGTCGCTATGAGTAAGAGACGACTCGACAACACCTAACCACAACAATAACAACATCCTCTCCAAGGTGGCTGACTTTCCATCACTGTGCCTGCCTGTACTACAGGGGAGGCTGCTTTCCACAGGAACTCACCTGTGACCCAGACCATGCCTTTCCCATCCCTTCTTTGATTAATACTAAAAAAAACCTGAAACTCACTCACGGCCATTGAGTCTATTCCTACTCATAGAGATCCCCCACTGGGTAACCAAGACTGTAAATCTTTACAGTAGCAGACCACCCCATCTTTCTTCTGTGGAGCAGCTGGTGGGTTTCAATCACTGACCTTTTGGTCAGCAGGCAAATGCCTTAACCGCTATACCACCAGAGTGCCTTCCTTGATTAATAGCATCCACATATAGATGAAGTCGCATAACAAAGCCTGAGATTTTCCAGAAGTCACCTCCAAATTTTCCTAAATGAGGGAGTAGGGAGGAGTTGGGGGTGCCACCCCTGTGAGTCTGCTACCACATTTCCTCCCAGGGGAGGGAACAGAAGCCACTCAGGAAATACTACCCTCCCAGCCACATTGCAAGACATGACGACATGAACAGTGATGGTGACATCAGCTGTGTTAACTCCCCACACCTGAGTCTCCCGGGCCCCACATGGCCACAGTGGGAATGGAAGCAGGATTGTCTACAGAAGTCTGCCGAAGGCATAAACAGCAAAAACCAGCCAGGTAAAATGTCATGTTCAATTAAAAGAGAGGAAAACCCAGCACCTAGGCCCAAAGAGGGAGCCTAAGGCATTTGACTGCTAACCAGAAGGCTGGCTGTTCAAACCTTGGAAGGAAGGTTGGGCGATCTACTTCCGTAGAAATACCGCCTGGGAAACCCAAGGAGGGGTCGCTATGAGTTGGATCTGACTCCACAGCAGTGCATTTGGTTTGGTTTTTGATTAGGGCCAAAGTGACATACAGGAATTCAGGGAAGGGTCGGAGAGCCGTAAGGTCAGAGCTAAGCAGAAAAGCCATCACAAGAAAAGGTAGTGGCAAGAGTTGATGGGGCCAGGCTGTTGAGCAGCGTGCTCTTTTAAGAACTATCTATGTGGGATCAGACTGGCAACAGCGACTCGAAAGATTAGACAGGAACCTTAGGGGGCAGTGAGTTTATGCTAGTGGGGGAGGAACAATTCAGACGAGAGTGAGTAGGTCTGCACAACTCAGAGAATGCCAGCAATGCCCTGACTTGTACATGTAGAAACTTGAATTGATGTACGTTTTTGCTGTGTAAATTCTCAACAACCAAAAATAATAAAAAAAAACAAATTTTAAAAAAGAGAGAAAGAAAGAGAAGGTAAGGCAAGGGTCAAGAGTGTGGGCACAGGGTCGAAAAAGCAGACACCAGTGGAGATGCCTAGCTTTTCTCATTGGAACCCCACCCCCGTTGCTGCCAGGAAGTGCAGGGTGTATCACTGCAGAACTAGTCCCTGGAAAAGAAAGGACCACAATTGGAAGAATTCTTACATTTTAAAAAATTATAAATGACTTCTGGATCATTCTTTACGTTTCAGCAGATAGCTCTGCAAAACAGAATGATAGCTTGTGCTAGAGTTGGGATTTTCCCTCACAGTCTCAGGAGACAAGCACCAGCTGAAAAGGAAACTGTGCAGGCCACAAGAAACCCCTCCCAGAATTGTAGAAACAAATCCGTAAATCCCAAACCACCCCAAAATTCAAAGCTGGTTACACGTGACCAAAAGCCAAGCAACGTGCTGTACACTGAGCCAGAAGAGAGCCCCTTCACTGCACAGTGAAATGAACAGCAATGTTCATGATTTACTCCGTGTGGGACCCAAAGCACTTTTCAGGTATTCGTCACTCATTCCTTCCAACGACAAGGGCAGCGGGGGCTCAGTGGTAAAATGTTGCCTTCCGTGAGGGAGACACGGGTGATTCCTGGACAACACGGCTCATGCACAGCCCCACCCATCTGTCGGCACAGGCCTGTGTGTTGACGCTGAACACCATTAGTTATGATCACAGCCTTCACCCCCTGAGCACTGTGCGCGGCAGGCCGTGCTCAACAGTTCGTCTCCTGGATCTCTGAACCCCGTGCAGCAGATAGCGTAAGCCTGCTTGCACAGGTGAGGAGAGCGCCAGGCAGGTCATTACAGTAACGCACCCACGGCCAGATGGCACCCTCGGCTGGGGGGCTCCCAAGATTTGCCCTTCCCCTCAAGTCTGCTTCACTGTTCTGTTTGTACCAGCTCACCACTGTTGGACTGAACACTCCGTCATCAGCCTCTTGGCGTCCAGCTGAAGGTTATTAAAATACATCTCTGTGTCTTTAGAGTGGACATGTTCTTTCTGCTTTCCCCTCGTCTCCTGAGCCAGAGAGAGAGAAGCTATCACAGTGTGACTTTCACCTTGGATCAAGCCCACAGGCAGGACAGAGGACAAGTAGTCCGTGTCTCTCTCCAGGGAGGGTCAGGGGGAGCCCTGGGCCGCAGCCTAGTGAAGGACTCCTGAGCTCCCTCCTGATCGTCTGCCACCCCTACAAGGAGAACGGCCCCCTGGACCTAGGCGTCAGATGCCCAGACTCACACGGAGCAACCCCACAAATGCCTGCGTTAGCTTGGGGTTCCCCAGAATGAGCACAACCGAGTGGCTTGCAAGAGACAACATTGTGATGACCTCTCCAGCCATCACTGCCATCTTGGCTTCTGGAAGGAAATAACTGGACGATGCGATTAAAAAGGCAAGGAAGTAGAGTAGGAAGAGAAAGAGGAAGGAGAGAATGAGTTTGGTGGCCCTCTTGTGGGCCTCAGTGCTGGGGTCTCTGGAGCTGACCCCAATGTGCCGCATCTGCCGCGTGTGCCTCCCCAGGGAGAGGATGAGCAGAAAGTAGGAGGCCAGCGACACCACCAAGGGAGGGAGGTACCACAGAGTCCCAAGGACATGGATCATCTTGTATCTGTGGCATTTCTTCCTTTTGTGTTCTGTTGTGTTTCCCGTGTCATCGATTCCACTGAGGTCAGAGTAGGCCTTGAACTCCCCGATCAGAGACACAGTACTGCTGCAGGACAAAAGCAGCGAAACCAGCAGCATCCACACGACCACCCTGGACACCCTCCACTTGAGCCAGAGGAAAACAGGGTGGGAGAAACTGGCAACCTTCAGGCAGTAGAAGACACCCAGGCAGGTGGCAAGCCAGATGTTCAGATGGTTTGTAAATGTCCAGAAGAGATCAGTCATCTGCACGAACATCCTCGCACTGTGGTCCTTGAGAGAGAACACCACTGAAACACCATGAGCCAGGAGGAGCAACAACAGAACGATCTTGGAGAGGGCCAGGCTGGTGATGAGGAAGTCAGACAACGACATTCTCTTACTCTTGAGCCAGTCTCTGCCATTGACCAACCCAATGAAGCCATTCACCAGCAGCCCCAGAGTGAACTGAGCTATGGACAGAACCAGAAACACCCACTCAGCGAGTGCCAGCATGCCCAGTCTGACAGGCCTGGTCCCTGGCTCTTCTGTGGATGTACAACTTTCCCTGCCTATGAGGAACTGCTCTCTGAATCTGTCGCCTCACTGTGCCTGTCTCCTGTCTCTGCCCAGTTCGGTCCGTCATAGAGCACAGTGGAGTGGGTCCTCTCTGGTGAGTCTGTCCTGTTCACAGATGGCATGGATCATCATGTTCCATCTATAATCACAAACTTGACAGCTCTTTGCTAAAATGCAAATTGATCAGTGTCTAGTATCACATAGAGAAGGGAGAGATGAATCACAAAGATGGAGGGCTTGGGCTTGATTTCAAAGGGGGTGGGACTCTGAGACACCCAGAGAGGGGAGTGTGATCAGGAAGAGGCACAGTCACTCAGAAGAGTGAGAAGCCTTGTCCTCCAGGGGGGAGAACTCAGAGGCACACAGGAAAGAAGAACTATTAGAATTCCACTGTCAGGATCACCATGAAGGAGGTTTAGGCAGGAAACGCTGAGTGTCATTGGCCTCGGATCCAAATTAAAAGGGCTGCCTCTTGGATCCAAGAGGATCCAAGGTAGTTAGTTTGAACCACATTATCAGTGATTCTAAACCACCTAAGTATTTTCAGAAATAACAACAATGTCGCATAGAAGCTATCTGGAACTTCTTGAGAGCACGTGACCCATGTTGATAAATGTCAACAGGCTGACAGATCATACAGGTACCACCTGTGTCTACCAGACAAGGTGTGCCAGTCTAAAGCAGTGCCTGACTAATTTTGACCAGGACTAATAGTAGCACTCTTTACATGGTTTTCTGTATCCCAATACAGCATCATAAATATACTTCACAATCTACATATATGTGTGTATGTGTGTTTGTGTGTGTATAGACACACACACATAATACCAGGAACACAAGTTTCCAAAAACTATACCTTCCCTTACTACATGTGAGGCATTCTGGTATTTTCTTTTCTATTCTATTTCTGTAAATGCTTCTTTCATATTATGAAAATTTATTTTACAACCCACTAGTGAGTTGTGCCATGACCTGTCTGTCGTGGCTTGTATGTTGCTATGATGTTGGAAGCTATACCACCTGTACTTCAAACACCAGTAGGGACACCCAGAGTGGACAGATTTCACTGGAGCTTCCAGACTAAGAGACTAGGAAGGCGAGCCTGGGAACCCACTTCTGGGAATCAGCCAGTGAAAACCCTATGGCTCAAAACAGAACACTGTCCGATCCAGTGCTGGACGATGAGTCCGGAGATGGGGGCCAGAAAGACGTGCTCAAAACATGCCAGTCATGAAGACGGCACAGGACTGGGCAATGTTTCCTTAAGTTGTACACAGGGTCGCCATGAGTCAGTGACAGTGACAGTCAGTGAGTAGTAATAAATGTGACCACTGACTAAAGGACGGAGAAAGAAAACATCATCAAGGGACACAGCAGACCAGATATTTCTGATTCTGTCTTTGATACTGAGTAACTTTGACAGGAATTTCTGTGCTTGTGTTGTCTTGTTTAAGTTTTCCTAAAATAGGACAAGTTCTTTGTCTTATCTTTGGTCCCCTAGAGAACAAAGCCTGAGGCAAAACCTAGGTGCAATGCTTTATTTGAAGGTGGAGTCCCAGAGCAGACGTGAGGGGAGGCAGGCAGGAAGTTGTTGTTATTGTAGGTGATGTTGAGTTTATTTTAACTCACAGCGACCTTACAGGGCAGAGTAGAACTGCTTCATGGAGTTTCCTAAACTG